AAGGAAATAAATTCCCAAAAATTTATTTAAGAAGTTTCAAGTTGACAAAGAATCATGATCTTATTATAGAAGTAATTTGTTCAAAAGTTAAAAACAAATTCGAATTTTAGTTTATAACAACATCTAGAGATTGTTCAAAAATGGTGCTTGCCATTATTTTAAACTATACTAATTCTACAAGTCCTAAATTAAGTGAAAGAGCAGAAAAAATTGAGATTGAACAATTAGCTAATGCAAAACACACAAATTACCAAATTGCCAATATTTACAATCCAGCATTAAGATTTTCATTTTATATTAGAGAAAGGGAGCATGCATCAACTCTTCGCCATTTAATTACGATAATGAAATCATAAAATTTGACAGTAAGAAAACGAAAATTTTATTTGATTTAATTGATATTAAAATATCTTTTAAAATTTATGTTTTTCATTAACTTTCGATTGAATTGTTTTTATAAAATTAATTTGCCATACCAAAATTCGTGTCATGACAAAACACCGTCCTGACAAAATAGTCTACAAAATACAGTCCGACATAAGCAGTTTTACCAAAATTGTCAAGAGAAGAAAATATGCATTGGGGTTTTTTGGTGCTAGGGATGATAATGTAAATTTTAAGAAGCTTACCTATATACATAAAGTTGCAACAAATTTTAGTAAAAAAGAAAATTATACAAGTTTATCAAAAAATCATTAAACGCGATATGTAAATATTAAATAAATTTTGTCAATTAATTCTCTTAATTTCAATACTATGAAATTTGTTATTTTCTACAATATAAACGATAAACTTCATTTTTGGATTATATTTATTGGAAAGCTGAAATTCTGTATATTTTTTATCGCTCTCAATTTTCAATTTAATATCCTTTGCTGTTTCATTTAAAATAAGCTGTTTATGATAACCAACTAGTTTTATTTGTTTCAACATTTTAAAGACGTCTTCTGATGTTTCCACTATGTGCTATAATAAATCAAAAATAAACTAGATATTACAACTGGCAGATCTCAAAAAAATACTGGCAAACCCCTCTCCAATTTTTAACTTGAAAAGTAGACAGCAGAGGTTGGACGATTAAGAAAAAGTTCGGTTTTGTTCTCAGGCAAACCCGATTGAACTTACGTGGACAGATGTGCAAAAGTACATAAAATAAAACTTACATTTATAATAAGATCAAAAATTCTTTGCAAATTATTCGAAGATAGATCGACTTTATTAAACTTGTCTCCACTCATTAAAATTTTAAATAAAATATCTACATATTTTGTCGCGTCTTTATTTAGAAGAAAATCAAATATAAGATTTCCACTAACGATTAGATGATTCAAAATAAATTTTAGCCGTCTCCAATAGTATTGTATTCCATAGGCAGCCAAGCTGTTTGAATATAAAATTGTTTAGGAATACTTTCGAATAATAATTGAATCAATTCTGGATTAAATACAAATTCTTCAAAGTTGCCACATTTAAAAGAACGATTAAATAATTTATTTAAATAATAATACACGATTTTTAAGTCCTCTTTATTTTTAATAATTGGTGGTAGTTCTAGAAGATAACGGTCTTTATCGTTGTATCCTAAAAACATTTTAAATTTAGAAAACTTTTCGGACAATTCAAACACGAAAATAGCCTGTTTGCACTATTTGCTATTAGGAAAATACAAATTCTAGAAAGCGAATGGATTGTCGCGAACATATTTAGCTTAGGTCCCGGATTTTAAAAATTATTAGAACTTAGGGAGTGGAGTGACTAGCAAGGAGAAAATATTAAAATGGAAAATTACTAAGATTTATTTGTTACATATTATTAAAAGTCATTACTTAAAATAAATATTAAGATTTATTAGTATGTATGTATATAAGAAGAGTAAGATTAAACCTTTAGTTAAGCAAATAATAATATCGTTATTTGATTCTTGATAAGGTAAATACAAAGGAATTGGTTTTTCTAGTTCATTTTTGAACTAAAAAGAAAGCAAATCTTTAAATATTCCAATTTAATTTACATTATCCTCTATATGCTCATTCAATGGAAAGCCAAAATTTTCAGTTTCGAGTCTGATTAGTTTATGAGGAAAATCTTCTAATCGAATAATATCCTTCTAAAAAATATTTAAAAACTTAAAATTAAATAAAAATTGTTACAATAGAAATTTTATAAATTTTCTCCCGAGCAAGTTCACTTTCAAAATTATTAATAAAATCGCGAAAATACAAATTTGTTTGTTTAATTGAACATAATTCTTCATAACTGAAGAATTTAAAAATATCAAGTTGACTTTCAGTTGGTAGAGAAAACATTTTTTGAATTTATTTATGCAATAAGAATAGATCGTATATAAAATGCTTAAAAGACCTTTTATTAAAAGGTGATTAGAAATATTTTGTAGATTTATTTAAAAACTAAAAATTAAAAAATTATAAAAAGTAAAATGTGTTTAATTTAGAAATATTTAAAAATAAATTGGAAGGCTTTAACGTGTTAAAACTAAATTTTATAAAACAAAAATAATTAAATTAAAAAAGATTAATGAAAAAAAGCGTATTTAAAAATAACATGTTATCAAATAAGTTAAATAAAATTTTCGTTTGCATTCTTATATTTCACGTTACATTTTTTTGATATAAATAGAAGAAATTCTTCCACCAATCCATGCTTCAATACAAAGTGCAAATTTCACTTTTGGATTGAAAATATTGGAAATTTGGAAATTTGTATGTTTTCTATTATCTAACTGTATAATTTCAATTTTTTCTGCTCTTTCACTGAATTCAAAGCGCGAAAAAGCAGAAGAAGAAAAGTAAAACATAATATAAGGTATCATTCTTGAACAATCTTTCGACGTTGTTATATACTAAAATTTAAATTTATTTTTTAAACTTATTTATAAGTAGATACTTCCATGATTCGATCATAAAGCCCTGTTAATCTATAACTATATAAATGAATGCTTGGTATTTTATTGCCTTCATTTGTTAAAATATTAAATAAAACATTTTTATTTTGCTGAGTAAAGTCAAAAGTATAAAAACGGATGGAAAAGTGTTTAGAAATTGTTGAATGATTTAAAACGAATTTCAAAATATTTTCAAATATTTTATTGTTAGCAAACATAAATAGGGTTTGACAGTGAACCCGAAAAGTAATTGTCCTGTCATTATCGAATAAAATATTGATCATCTCTGGATTAAACACAATTGTAGTTAAAATTAATTCTCCATAAACACAATTAAATAGTCGTTCCAACCAGCAACGAACAATAATCATTTCTTCAAAATTCTTTGGATAATTTGGCAATTTTAATGAAAAAAATTTTCTTTTTTTGTCAACTAAAAAATGGGATTTAAAAACTATTTTGAAAAATATTTGTAAACATTTAGATATACAAACAAAGGTTCTGTCAGGTTCAACTTTATGTAAAAACAACGGAATTGATCTGTCTATCGCTGCTTGCCACTAAAAAAAGTGGAATTAAATTATATAATATAAAGTTAATTTAACCTTATTCTTAAGTTGATCATTTAAAGTGAATTCAAAAACTTCAGATTTAAGTTCAATAGCGGTATAATACGGATTTTTTATATTTGGTTTTGTATCAGACTAAAAAATTGAGAGAAAATTAATTAATAAAGATTTACAAAGAAAAAGTTATCGAATTTCATTCGTGCCAATTCTCCCTCATATTTTTTAATTAAATTGTAAAAGTAATAATTTGTTAATTTAAAAGAGAATAATTGGTTGAAATTAAAACATTTTAATACATCAAGTTGAACTTCAGTTGGCAGAATAAACATTTTAATTATCTAAATAAAGCTAAAGATATACTTTAGCCGGTGGCTAAAGTATCAGTAAATTTAACTACATAATTCTGTCTGATCAGAATACTCTATGCGATCTTTCTCCAACGTTTATACTTAACTATTACCTCACCACAAAATTAAAAAAATACTTATTTGAATTAAATTGTGAATAAAAATTAAAAATTCTAATTAATGTATTTTTGTTTTTTCTCCATCTAATTTTCCAATCCTACTATCTACATTGGATTGACATAGTTTTTTTAAAATATTGTAGAGAAATGACGCCTATTTCCCAGTAAAAATGTCTGGGTCACATTGAGGTGAATTCTTCTATATTAAGCTTAAAAACAGGGAACTTTCCCAAATAAACTTGATTTATTACACTTTACGGTAATAGTGTCGTTTCCCAGCCCCATTTTTTCCTCCCAATTTTCTACCCTATGTTTGTACGGAATGGTCAAATTTTCCCCTTTCTTTCATCAAATTTGCCTTTCCATATTTTGCCTAAAAACAATCAAGATTAATTTGTGATATTTAAAAAAGTATTAGAGTAATGAAAAGAATCATTTTCCCAATTAATAAAAATGGAAGAACTAAAGAATTTCAAACCTATTGATTTATATGAAAAATTACGTTTGAGTGATAATGATTTCGATGCATGGCTTGAGAAACTTGGACTTCTTCATGGAAAGAGAACTTGCTACAAATGTGGGGGTCGAACAACAATAAGTGTTAAGAAAGACGAAAGATATGGATGATTGTACAACCAGAAATTGTAGAGCAAGACAAGGTTCTTTTTTTGATGAAAGAAAGGGGCAAATTTGATGAAAGAAAGGGGAAAATTTGACCATTCCGTACAAACATAGGGTAGAAAATTGGGAGGAAAAAATGGGGCTGGGAAACGACACTATTACCCAAAAATAATTAAATCAAAAAAGGTTACTTAAAAAATAATAAATTAAAATAAATCATTGTTTTCATTCTTATATCCCACATTACATTTTTTTGATATAAATACAAGAATTTATTCCCCAATTCCATTCTTCATTACAAAGTGCAAATTTCACTTTTGGATTGTAAATATTGGAAATTTGGTAATTTGTATGTGTTTTATTATCTAATTGCACAATTTCAATTTTTTCCGCACTTTCACTGAATTTAAAACGGGAAGAATCAGATGAAGAAAAATAAAAACTAATAACAGGCACCATTTTTGAACAATCTTTTGATGTTGTAATATACTAAAAATTTAAATTTATTTTTTTTATCAAAATTTACTTCTATAATAGAATCATAAAGCCGTGATAAATTAGAACTTTGTAAACGAATTTGTGGTAGGTTATTGCCTTCGTTTATTAAAAAATTGAATAAAATATTTCTGTGTTGCTCTGTATTGAAAACGTCACAAAAACTGATGTTAAATAATTTAGAAATTGTTAAATGATTTGAAACAAAGTTCAAAACATTTTCGAATGTTTTATTGTGAGCAATCATAAGTAGGCTTTGATAGTTAAACCGAATAGGAATTGTTTTGTCGTTATCAAATAATATATTGATCATTTCTGGATTAAATATCGTTGTATCAATATAAGCTCCTACAATAGCACACTTAAATAGGTGTTCTAACCAGCAACGAACAATAATCATTTCTTCAATATTTTTTGGACAATTTGGCAGTTTTAATAAGAGACTTTTTGTCTTTATGTCCACTAAATAGAAAAAAATAGGATTTTCATATCCAACCCCTTCCCCATGACAAAATTTAATAAAATAAAAATATATTATTTGAAAAATATTTGTAAACCTTTAGAAATACAAACAAAGGTTCTATCAGGTTTAAATTGATTTAAAAACAAAGGAATTGATCTGTCTATCGCTGCTTGCCACTAGAAAGACAATGAAATTAATTTACTAAAATTAATTTAACTTTATTTTTAGTTTGATCATTTAAAGTTAATTCAAAAACTCCAACTGAAATTGACTAAAATTAATTATTACATTATAATTTAATATATTTTTTATAACCTGTCTTACTCATACAAATAAATATTTTTTTGCTTGAATGTACAAACAATCGAGTTGATTTAGCTATCGCTGATTGCCACTGAAAAATATATGGGTAATTTATCTAAAAATTAATTTAACCTTATCCTCAAGTTGATCATCTAAGGTAAATTCAAAAACTCCAGATTGAGGTTCAACGCATTTATACTCAAAATCTATTTTTTTATTTCCATCAATCTAAAAAATTGGAAAAAAGTTCTTTAACAAATATTTACTAGGTGCCGTGTGATTTGGGCAGTGGTGAATTGGGCAGTGAGTGATATGGGCAGTGAGTGATTTGGGCAGTAAACGTTTTTAAAAAATAATTTTACACGTAAAAACAATTTGAGTAACGTTAGAAGAATAATTTTGAGTGATTTGGGCAGTAACTTATAATTTTTAAATTATTTAAAATTGATAAGAAAAATTCCGGAAATTTTTATTTAACTTAAGTAAATCCAAAATTTGAACATATTTTTCCAAAACTATTTTGACCTTTTTCAGATATTTTGGACCTATCTTGAGACCTAAAAACTTAAAATAGTAATTATTTCTCAATTTTTCATACCTTAAATCTACTTATCACCTAGGGAAACGTCAAAATTGGGACCAAGACGATTTCAACAAAGGGTAATGTTGTACCTACAACGTTATCAAAATGAAAAAGGGGTGCGGTTCTTTGAATTTTTGTGTAAATAATTTAAAAATTATAAGTTACTGCCCAAATCACTCAAACTTATTCTTCTAACGTTACTCAAATTGTTTTTGCGTGTAAAATTATTTTTTAAAAAACGTTTACTGCCCAAATCACTCACTGCCCAAATTACTCACTGCCCAATTCACCACTGCCGTTTTCACCAGACACGATTTACTATTGAGAGTTCATAAAATTTCCTTCGTGCCAATTCTCCCTCATATTTATTAAATTGAAAAAGTAAGAATTAGTTTGTTTAACAGAGATTAATTCGTTGAAATTAAGATATTTTAATATTCGAAGTTGAACTTCTAGTGGTAGAGAAAACATTTCGATTATCTAAGAAGATACGTACGTATTTAGAAAAATTCAAGTTGTACTTTCAAAATTTATTAAGAACCACAATATTTTTTAAACTTATTTATGCACTTCTTCCCTCCATTTTTCAACCACCGATATTACTCTATTAGGTCGAGATAAAATAAATTGAGGTAAAAATATGTACCTTTTGAGAATGTGGAGGGAACGAAATTCAAAATTACCAGATTACCTTTAATGTGTTTAAAGATAAATTGAAATTAACTCGCAAAAATTTATTATAAAATAAAAATAATTCAATCGAAAAAGTAAAAAAAATATTTCTAAAAATTGTAAATAAAAATATTTTTTGTAGTTTGAACAATAATTTTTTGATTAGAAAACTAATTTGAAGTAAAAATATTTAATTTTCGCGCTACTTTATTTACTAAATTGGCCATAAAGAGTTGGTGGAAACAATTTATTTCTTTTATTAATTTTATTCAGTTCTTGAAAATTTTTCGGTAATTTTTGATTTGAAATCTGTCATATAGAATTCGTCGAACAATATTGAAGAAATTAAAGTTTTATAAATAATTCTACAACAGAGATTATGTAACAAAATGTTTAGAAATTTCGGAGGAAGATGACTCATATACTGTTAAAAATTAAAATTAAAAAAAAATACTTTTCACTTATTACGACAAAAATATTGTAATGGTTACTAGAATTCGGACCCGGACAGAGTTTCCGAGTCCGGAAATTTTTATAAAATCCTTTTTTAGTGTTTATCCCCGAAAAATCCGACACGGAAAGATGTGTTTAAAATATAATTAAATTGACTTTCCTTAATCTACAAAAATGATGAAAATAAATTTAATAAAAAAAGTAAATGAAAAACAATTTTTTAAAACAGGTAATTTATTTGTCAGCTAAATCAAAAACTATTCTAGGTATCTTACATATATTCACCTTCAGCTTCTACTTTCTTTATGTTGATTATAGCATAAAAAAAGCCTCCATATTCCCTTTCTACGTGGAAAAATGAATATCTGTCGCTTGGATTGTAAATATTGGAAATTTCATGATAGGCATATTTCATATCATTTATTTGTTCAATTTCAACTTTTTCTGCTCTCTCACTTAATTCAAAACTTGTGTGATTTGAATATTCAATCAAAATATAAGACACCATTTTTGAACAGTCTTTAGATGTTGCTATATACTAAAAATTTAAATTTTTATTTTTATGTATCTTTTATGAAATACCATATTTTCTCTAAAATAGCACACGGGGTTATTTTTTTCGATCGACCTCTAGAGGGGGGCTATTTTAAAGAGAGGGGGGGGGTTATTTTAAAGGGAGATTATTTTAGAGGAAATTGTAGTCACCAATTTGAATCAAAATATGACCTTATTTGAGGCCTAGCATAACAAGTTCAAACAATTTACCGAGTTGCCCTCCATCCTTGATATTTCTTTTAATCAACACAGATCCACAAATATCTCTCCTAATCCACCACTTAGAGAAAAACGGTATCTTTCCAAATTCAATGATATCCCTATTACTACTTCGTAATCCCTCGATATCACATCCACACCCATCTATATTCACTTTAATACCTTCACATACACTGATATTATTCTTAATCCACCCAAATCACTCGATATATCTTTCGAGGATAGAAAAACACAATGCAAAAAACAATTTTATGGGTGGGGGCTGCAATTTTAGAGGGGGTTAAGGGTATTTTAGAGCCAATGCGGTAACTTACTTCAACAATTTGATCATAAAACATTGGCACATTTATAGCACAATCTAAATTTTCTGTGAATTTAGCAAACCTCAAATAAACATCTTTAAATTTGTCTCCATTTATTAAAATTTTAAATAAAAGATCTTTATAAATTTTAATATCCGCTCTATCTCTAAGAAAATTAATTATAAGAGTTTCGCTAATTAAATGATTCAAAGCAAAGCTGATTAAATTTTGAATATTGTTTTCCACAATAGCCATATAGCACGTTCGAATATATAACTGTTTGGAAATTACATCATCTCCAAATAATAATTCGATCAATTCTGGATTAAACACAAATTCATCAATATAGCCATATTCATAACAACAATTGAATACTTTATTTAAATAATAATAAACAATTTTTAAGTCCTCTTTGCTTTTAATTATTGTTTCTAATTGTAGTTGCCGGTGATTTGTAATGTCGCTAACTGAAAAGTTAATTTAAAGTAAATCTAGAAACTTTTTGAATGTCCATACAGAAATTCCCCTATCCAAAAAAGTTTAAGGGTTTTCTATAAAAAAAGTTTAGGGGTTTCTAACTAGAAAAAGTTTTAGGTGCATAATAAAATCACAACCCACATTAAGTAGGCCTATGTTACTGCTTAGTTCCGAAAATTTATTTAGGCTAATTTCGGAGTTCTGACTTTTGAGCCATTTCCGAAAGTTTCAATTTCTGGCACCTTCGTAATTTCCGATTCACCTCTGCTGCTTACTAAACCAGACATTCGTTCTTCAATAATTAGTTTGCAAATATTTGGGTTAAGTTCCAAAATTTTTCTTGTTGCAGACTGAGATGCACTTGAAAATTTATTAAATAAAATTTCACCTCTTTTAGATAAACGACTAACAATATTCCTCGAATTCTGATAAGGTAAATACATTGGAATCGGGTTTTCTAGTCCATTTTTCTTCAAAAAAGGAAAGAAACCCTTTGCATATTTTAATTTATTTACATTCTCTTCAAGTTGTTCACTCAATGGAAATCCATAATTTTTGGATTTTGGTTTATATGATCTATGAAGATCTTTTTTGAATTGATTGATAGTGTGATCCTTTTAAAAATATTTAAAAAATTAATTAAGTAAGAATTATTACAAAATGAATTGTGTAAACTTTCTCTCGAGCAAGTTCTCCTTCATATTTGTCAATAAAATCACGAAAATATAAATTTGTTTGTTTGATTGAAAATAATTCTTTATAGCTGAGAAATTTGAAAATATCAAGTTTTGTCTCTGTTGGTAAATAATTAAACATTTTTTCAGAGAAAATTTAAAATGTATCTTTACGTGATCTTTGACAAAGCCCAGTTAGATATTTATTGATGGAAGGAAAGGAAATTGAAGGAAAAAAATATATAAAAAACATTTCGCAGTTAACCATAATTTTTGTCAAGTTTAAAGTAAAAATATTTAATTTTTGCGCTACTTTTTACTAAATTAACTTTCATAGAGTATTTATCAAATGTGTAGTATTGAACAAATAAAAATTCTAAGGTGTATAAATAATTTCTATAGAAGTTAATATTAAGATGAAACAAAAATGATTAGAGAGAGGAAGTTTGGTGTGTTAAGAAATTATAACATTTCACAACTTCTTTGAATTTTTTGATTTCTCAACAACAATAGTTTTAATTTTTTGTAAGACTATAAAAGATTATTCATGTCAAAAATAATGTTTGATATTAGTAGATTACCTAATTCTATCGATTTAGGTAAATATCAAAGGCAAAAATGAAATAAATTATTTTTTAAATTAAATATTACTTTCCATCAAATATTAACAAAAGATTAAATTTTTATTTTATTTAATGAATTTGTGGAGGAAAAAATTAAGTATACATATTTTGTGGTTCTTCATAAATTTTGGAAAGTTCTTCATAAATTTCTTCATAATTTTTGGAAAATTTTTTATATTTTTGGAAAAAAATTTATTCGGAAAAATTTTTGTTCTAAATTTTTAAAATATTTTTAATTTTTCTGAAAATTTTTTTATATTTTTGGAAAAAAATTTTTTCGAATAAATATTAAAATTAGAAAATGGAAATAATTATTACTAGCGATAAATACAGTGGTGTGCATATGTTTAGAACCACTGGTTAAATTATTTTTATATTTCCAATAACTTTCTAAAACAATTCAAACGAGGCAAATTGCTAATACAATTTTTGAGCATTTTTAATGAGCTATTCATATATTGCTATCCCTTTTTCATAATATAACTTATTCCCAAAAGATTTTCGTTTAGGCGAACACAATCGTATTTTTATATGTGCAAATGTTTAGAACCACTTCGGTTTTTCCTACAAAAATTCTAAAAAAATTTCTGTAAACATTTCCACCGATACTGAGTGGAAAAGTAAAAAGAATGAAGTCTCTACCTTATTTCTTCATTGAGATCTCGAACCTAAAAAATCAACGGGAAATGGGGGTACAGTACTTTAAAAAATATTTTAACCCCCTAGGGCTTAGACTAAAAATTTTCTTTTAGGCCCATTAAAAAGCCCATAAAATTTACTACAAAATAGTTAAGGTATCAGTTATTCCAAAAAATAATTGTTCGACTTACATCCGCTTTCACATAAAAATTGTCAAAAATCGCCTAAAATACCCCAAAAATGATAACTTAAATAATTGCCTTAACTCCATCTCCATGAGTTTTTATTGGAGAAATAAAAACTTGGACTATTTTTGTAGTAAATTTTATGGGCTTTTTAATGGGCCTAAAAGAAAATTTTTAGTTTAAGCCCTAGGTGGTTAAAATATTTTTTAAAGTACTGTACCCCCATTTCCCGTTGATTTTTTAGGTTCGAGATCTCAATGAAGAAATAAGGTAGAGACTTCATTCTTTTTACTTTTCCACTCAGTATCGGTGGAAATGTTTACAGAAATTTTTTTTAGAATTTTTGTCCTAATTAAAGTAGGAAAAACCTAAATGGTTCTAAACATTTGCACATATAAAAATACGATTGTGTTCGCCTAAACGAAAATCTTTTGGGAATAAGTTATATTATGAAAAAGGGATAGCAATATATGAATAGCTCATTAAAAATGCTACAAAAATTGTATTAGCAATTTGCCTCGTTTGAATTGTTTTAGAAAGTTATTGGAAATATAAAAATAATTTAACCAGTGGTTCTAAACACTGTAATTATTTTTCGTTTTTTAATTTTAAAATTTATTCGGAAAAATTTTTTTTCAAAATTTTTAAAAATATTTTATTTTTTTCTGAATTTTTTTTGTAGTAAAATTTTTTCGAAGAAATTCTAAAATTTAAAGACGGAAATTAACATTATTAGTCATAAACTATTATTTTTCGTTTTTTAATTTTAAAATTTATTCGGAAAAATTTTTTTTCAAAATTTTTAAAAATATTTTTATTTTTTTCTGAATTTTTTAGTAGTAAAATTTTTTCGAAGAAATTCTAAAATTTAAAGACGGAAATTAACATTATTAGTCATAAACTATTATTTTTCGTTTTTTAATTTTAAAATTTATTCGGAAAAATTTTTTTTCAAAATTTTTAAAAATATTTTTATTTTTTTCTGAATTTTTTAGTAGTAAAATTTTTTCGAAGAAATTCTAAAATTTAAAGACGGAAATTAACATTATTAGTCATAAACTATTATTTTTCGTTTTTTAATTTTAAAATTTATTCGGAAAAATTTTTTTTCAAAATTTTTAAAAATATTTTTATTTTTTTCTGAATTTTTTAGTAGTAAAATTTTTTCGAAGAAATTCTAAAATTTAAAGACGGAAATTAACATTATTAGTCATAAACTATTATTTTTCGTTTTTTAATTTTAAAATTTATTCGGAAAATTTTTTTTCAAAATTTTTAAAAATATTTTTATTTTTTTCTGAATTTTTTAGTAGTAAAATTTTTTCGAAGAAATTCTAAAATTTAAAGACGGAAATTAACATTATTAGTCATAAACTATTATTTTTCGTTTTTTAATTTTAAAATTTATTCGGAAAAATTTTTTTTCAAAATTTTTAAAAATATTTTTATTTTTTTCTGAATTTTTTAGTAGTAAAATTTTTTCGAAGAAATTCTAAAATTTAAAGACGGAAATTAACATTATTAGTCATAAACTATTATTTTTCGTTTTTTAATTTTAAAATTTATTCGGAAAAATTTTTTTTCAAAATTTTTAAAAATATTTTTATTTTTTTCTGAATTTTTTAGTAGTAAAATTTTTTCGAAGAAATTCTAAAATTTAAAGACGGAAATTAACATTATTAGTCATAAACTATTATTTTTCGTTTTTTAATTTTAAAATTTATTCGGAAAAATTTTTTTTTCAAAATTTTTAAAAATATTTTTATTTTTTTCTGAATTTTTTAGTAGTAAAATTTTTTCGAAGAAATTCTAAAATTTAAAGACGGAAATTAACATTATTAGTCATAAACTATTATTTTTCGTTTTTTAATTTTAAAATTTATTCGGAAAAATTTTTTTTCAAAATTTTTAAAAATATTTTTATTTTTTTCTGAATTTTTTTTGTAGTAAAATTTTTTCGAAGAAATTCTAAAATTTAAAGACGGAAATTAACATTATTAGTCATAAACTATTATTTTTCGTTTTTTAATTTTAAAATTTATTCGGAAAAATTTTTTTTCAAAATTTTTAAAAATATTTTTATTTTTTTCTGAATTTTTTTTGTAGTAAAATTTTTTCGAAGAAATTCTAAAATTTAAAGACGGAAATTAACATTATTAGTCATAAACTATTATTTTTCGTTTTTTAATTTTAAAATTTATTCGGAAAAATTTTTTTTCAAAATTTTTAAAAATATTTTTATTTTTTTCTGAATTTTTTAGTAGTAAAATTTTTTCGAAGAAATTCTAAAATTTAAAGACGGAAATTAACATTATTAGTCATAAACTATTATTTTTCGTTTTTTAATTTTAAAATTTATTCGGAAAAATTTTTTTTCAAAATTTTTAAAAATATTTTTATTTTTTTCTGAATTTTTTAGTAGTAAAATTTTTTCGAAG